GATACGGCAACTCCGCCGAGCTCGCGTACAACCACTTGAAGAACCTGTATCATGCAATAGACAGCGTTAACCAGAGTCAGTTAATGGCACAACTGACAACAGTGGAAATGAAACCAGGCAAAAAGGGGATGGCGTATATCAGTCGCTGTCGCGAATTACACGACAAACTCCTTTGATGTGGAGGATCGATATCGGAAGATGCCTTCGTCACAGTTGTCATTGGCGGTCTTGGTCCTCATGTGCGCTCCACTCGCGCCATACTCCGAGCCCACGGGAAGATATCCGAAGCAGCACTCTACGCCGAGATCCACGCAGAGCAGCAAGACATGGACCTGCAAGAAGAACGACACAAGAAGAAAACGTCAGCACTTGAATTTGCGTTCCACACTCAACGGCGCTACAACAACAATAACAGCCGGCATCAACCAAAACGCGTACCTCCATTCTGTCATCTTTGCAGAACTTCAGGGCACCCTCGCACACACTGCCCGAATCGACAACAGTCAACGCCGCCGCAATGCCAACTTCGTCCTTCAAGCGGTCAAGTGGCATCCACGCAAGCGCACCCCACGAGTCAACTGCAGTCCTCAACGACATCGTCAACACAATCTGCACAAGGAGCAAGAAACATCGTCAGCTGCATGGCAAGATTGACTGACTCCTGCATCACCGAGTCACCACCACATTACTCACCGGAAGAGCAACTCGACAACAGCACCCCTCGCCGCGAGTCACTTCAACCGAACCCAACGTATGCAGCCATCGCTCAAAGTGAACCGTCCGGGAAAGACACTTGGTTCTTGGACAGTTGCTACGGGCAGCATATGTGTTCCTCGGGTCGTTTCGTTCAACGCGAACACCAACTTCAACGCGAAGTTGTCATCACCGTCGCCAACAATTAGAACCTGCGCACACGACGACAAGGCCTAGTGCAACTTCAGTCACGAGAGACAAACGTCATTCTGCAAATGTCAAAGGTTCTAATTGCGGAGGGACTCGGCTACAACTTACTGAGTGTCAGTCAGCTGATGGCAAAGGGTATCCACCTTGAAGTAGACAGCACAACACAGGAGTTCAAGTTGTACCACGAGAAAGGAGGCCTCTATATCGGCAAAGCCGTGCTGAAGAACAGCGTGTTCGTTCTCGACTTCGTTCCAGATTTAGGCACCGCCGACAGCAACAGAATCGTCACCTTCACCTCCTGGACGCACCCACCGGATCTTGATTCTGACTTCAGCCCCGAAGGCTTCTGGTATTCACATACTATCCCTGAGGCAGAATTAACACAAGCATTAGCAACGATTCAATACTTGGCAGCAACAGAGACAACATCGGCAGCAGCAGAAACAACATCGGCAGCAGCAGAGACAACATCGGCAGCAGCAAAGCCAACATCGACACCAATCGCAGGTCCTTCAACGGCACCGGACTTTGTCGACAACACACCACCGACTCCCGCGCAACAGTTGAATCCAACTCCACAAGAAGTCCATCGAAGTGCAAACCACAGCGCAGGGTTCTACTCCAACTCCGACATGTACCGCCGCTCACCTAGACATCGCGCTGACGAAGAGTTCTGGCATAAACGAATGGGATATCCGAGCAACACAACGTTAAACAACACGATACGAGCAGGCGTTCTTGACAAAGACTCACTACTCTTACCCGACGGTAGAGAACTTCGACGAATGAGAGGAACTTGCTTCACCTGCCCAGAAGCTAACTTACCACATCAGCCCTTCGTTTCTCACTACAACCCGAGCGCATCAGCTTAAGCACCACTTGAGAAAGTGTACAGCGACATCCTGTACAACCGTAAACCTGGACAAGAAGCATACAACTACACCATCACGTTCATCGACACCGCCTAGTTATGTCTGGCATCTCAACCTTCCAAGCCGCGACATGGCCTTCGAAGCCTTCGTAGCCCGGCTCCCAGTAGCAGAACGGGAATCGGGAGTTAAGCTGAAAAGCTTTCAGTCTAACGGGGGGGGGAGAATACACCTCACAGAGGTTCAAGCAGTACTTGGCAGAGAGAGGAATCAAGCGGCTCATCTCCCTTCCTTACGCCCATCAACAGCAGGGTGTAGTAGAAAGAATGAACAAAACTCTTCAAAACACCATGCGCAAGCTGCTACGTGGCATGTGGCTACCCAACCACCAGTGGCCCGAAGCAATGGACCACGCCGTGATACTACACAACTTGCTTTCGTCATCATCGCTCTCGAACAACGCATCACCGCATCTGCTGTGGACACGAAAACTGGGCAGCACAAAAATGTTGCGGAATTTCGGCTGCATGGTACAGTACCAACCCCCAGCTGCACGCGCTGGCCGATTCTCCCAACGCCCACAGTGGGGACTACACCTGGGCATTGAAAAGAATTACAATGCGTGGAAGATTTTTTACGTCCACTCAAAGGAAACAGTAGCAGCACGTGATGTCATTTTCTACGAGTGACTCACCCTTTCAACGTACCTGCACAACTTGGAGACTTCACGAGATGTCACAGGCGGATTTCGTGGGGACCGAGCGTTCGCTTCGGCAGATGACGAAGCTGACCTGGACGAGCAGACCATGGATGGAGCTTCGGAAGAAGCGGAACCACTTCCCTACTGCTCGGTGGATATCCCAATGGACGATGACAACCCCCGCGAAAGCATCAACGCCGAAGTCTTCTACGACTTCGCCGACAATGGTTACGTTACACTCGCCTGACTCAACACCAACGAAGCCGAATGCATAGGACCCAATTTCTTACCTGATCCAGAAGAAGGTGACAAAGCAGCTTATCCCGAGGATACGACACTTCCCCGCTACACACAGAGCGGGCTCCAGATACTCGGCCTCGTCACCGCGGTCCACGGCACGGAGATTCCTAAGGAGCCTGCCACAGTTCAGCAGGCTCTGGGGGGGGAGCATAGGGAGAAATGGCGCGAAGCCATGGACAGGGAGCTGAAAGCACTGGAGGAACGCAACACTTGGAAAGTCGTTCCCATCAGCGTGGCACAAAACAAGACAATACTCATCGGGAAATGGGTCTTCCGTGTGAAGACAAAGGCAGATGGCACCATCGATAAGTTCAAAGCGCACTGGGTCGTACGCGGCTTCGACCAAGAACGCGGACGCAACTTCACTAAAACGTTTGCGCCGGTCAGCCGACACACTTCACTGCGAATTCTTCTCGCAATCGCCGCCATGAAGAAAAGGAAGCTACGACAGATTGATGTCGCCAATGCCTTCCTCTACGCACCCGTTGACGTAGAGATCTTTGTTGAACTACCGCACGGGTCAAACGGAGAACCTAACAAAATCTGTCAGCTGCTGAAGTTCCTGTACGGCATCAAACAGGCACCGAGACTGTGGCAGCAGTATCTGCACGCCACACTTGTTTGCATTGGTTTCTGCCAGCTACTGCACGACCAGGGCATGTACCGACTCACCAAGGGTAACGATTACATTCTACTCATCGTCTACGTAGATGACCTGCTCTACATCGGCTCGACCGACGACGTCATTACCTGGTTCCAAGGGGAGCTACAACAAGATCTCACGCTCACGGTCTCGTCTACCGTCACGCAACATCTCGGCCTTAACGTTCAAGAGGAAGAAGACGCGATCTATCTCAACGCCGCGAAATATGCCGACACTATCGCCAAACGCTTCGGACTCACTCCGATCACCATCTCCACGCCATACCGCAAGAAATAACAAGGAAAGCTCCACTCCGCTCAAGCCCGCAGGCATACGCGACTACCAGAGAAAGCTGGGGTGCCTCCTCTTCGTGGCCGTCACCTGCCGTCCGGACCTATCGTTTTATGCGAGTCAACTCGCCACCTATCTCAAAAGGCCCGAGGTAGAACATATGGTGGAGCTCGACCGCGCCCTTCACTACCTCGTTAGCACTCCGACGATCGGCCTGACTTATCACAAGAACGGAACCTCGACACCTAAGTTAATCGGCTACGTTGACGCTGATCACGCCGGCGAGTCCGACAACAGACGCTCGCGCACTGGCTACATCTATCGCTTCGTGCCCTATTAACTTATAACTTAGTGCTTCGTACACATGTACACTGAGTCCTCGCAAATTTCACGCCCCGTCAGTTGTACCTTAAAGCCAAGCTGACCTTTTTTTGCTATAGGGATCAAACACCCGCGAACTAGAGGCTATCTGTGACATTGTGAAGTTTCGATGCTGCCCCAACTGGCGTTGAGACCGCAACGGAAATATTAAATCTTCCGTTGCGACCATGTTTTCTTTTTGTTTTTCGCTGACTATGCGCAGTCCCATTCGTTGCTTTCCTTTAAGCCAAATTGTTTGAAACAGACCTCAAACTTGGGTAAATGTAAAATAAATATACAGGGTGGTGAAATTGGCCCTAGTTATGACGTGTTGTGACCCAAATAGGTCGGGTCGACCAGGTCGGATTTCTCATTTCTAGGAAGGTTGCGTTGCGGATCTAGCCAACCAGCTCGACCCAACCGCGTCGGGTTGGGTCTGCCCGATTTGGGTCGACCTGGTCGGGCCAACCAGATTGATCCGACCAACTCAGCAAGATTGCAACGAGTTACCTTAGCTAGCTTTTATTCTAATTATTGTTTTTATATTAAATTGATAGAATACATTGTAAATGAGCAAGTGCATAAAATCAACAACATTCGTAACTGTGCTTGAGGGGAACGGCGCAGGCCGAACACCAGAGGGTACTTAAACAGGGCCACGTGCCTTGCGCTGCTTGGACCAGATGGCTGCAAAGCCATTTGTCCACTTCCATTTCGTCCCATCCACGGTTGTGATGTTTCCAACCAGTCGTTGTTCATCCACCAATAGTCTTGCTAACTTGCTCTTACGCATACCGCCCGCCCCTTTTCGCAGTTTCCTCTGTTGCTCTCTCAGGTAGATTCTCGCATGAAGGTAGAAAGCCCGCTCAATTCGTCGCAGAACTCGGCGCTCTCTAGATTTCCCTCCACAAAACACTGCTTCACACCGCTCCACCTAGATCTGGTGTAAACCAATCGCAGTCAGAGTTGCTTCCGGAAAAGCTGAGTCAGAGCCAGCACGCTTGAAGAGCATGTACCCTAGCGAGGAGATGCGGCGGGCTGGATTTATCATACGCAGAGCCTGCATGATCGCCGTGGAGACCACTTGGATGGCCGGGCAAGTGGAGAGACAATGCTCTAGGGTTTCCTCCTCGCTACAGTACGGGCAGATCAGCTTGCAGCAAAGGAAGGTCACCCTCTCTCCCACCTGGAGATTGAGGCCGTGGATCCTCAGCAGAATACTGCGTGGGCGGTTAGGAACCACCCGAGAGTCCCTGATGGCAATGACCTTCCTCCAGTCTATTTGAGTGCCCCATCTGCTCGCCCACTTCTCCTGCTTGTTGGAGGCCTGGCCCGACCCCCAAAACCTCCTCATCTGCTTCAGTGAAAAAATCCCCTCGCTCGAGACATACGGTAGCTGTTGCTGCTGCGAGGCAGCCGAGCTAATGCCTCCAGCTGCCACCAACACTTTCTTCCACTCCTCCGGTGCAGCCTCAAGCGCCTTGAGCGCCAGTCTAGCCGGTGCTATCTCTTCCAACTTCGTTTTTAGCTGCTCCAATGTCTTGAAACTTTGGGCCCCGTCCGCCCTCGTGCATCTCAACTTCCCCATGTTCCAATCTTTAAGCTGAGCTGCTGCTATCTGCCCTCCCAGTGGTGTCTTTCCGTTAGGCAGGATGCGGCGGTTGAATAGTAGCGGTTCCCGCGCCACATCCCCTGCTTCCTCTGCCAGTGGCCGTTCCCCCAGCGGCGACATCAGGATGGTCTCGCAGATCATTTTCCACCTCGTCCCATGGCCTTTCCAATAGCGTATGTGGTTTCTGTGGGCCGTAAACGAGTCTAACCCCATCGGTAGTTCCGCCGCCTTTATGATTATGTCTTTTTTCAGCAGGTTTGTCTCCGTAGCGAGCATCGCCGCGCGTCTCGCAGAGAGACATGCTAATAGGATGCCCGGGTCCCGCACTCCAAGCCCCCCCAGATCCCTTGGCAGGTACACCAGCTCCCGACGCCAGAGGATGAAGCCTTTCGCCGAGGTTGGACGATTGGCCGAGACAAAGTTGTGCAGAGATCTGTCGATCTCCAGCCAGATGTCATCCGGCGGGGGATACACCTCAGCCAGGAACGAGATCTTTGGAGAGATATAGTTATTCACCACCGCTCCTCTGGCCGTTTTTGTAAGGTACTTCTCGTGCCATTTCTGCAGCTTCCCCGTAATATCCTCTAACGCCTTCTCCCATGTTGGTCTGCAGCTACCGTTTGGCGTGATCCAGACCCCCAGAAGATGCTCTGCTTCATCCGCCGCTGCCCATTTGAAACCGTCTGATGCAATGGGGTTGGAGGTAAGGTTCACACCCAGCAGCATCACGACCGATTTCCCCTTGTTCATCGCCAGGCCGGACTCTTTCGCAAACTTAGCGAGCGCCCTCACCGCTTTCTTGATTTGACATTTCCCTTGGAGGACGAGCGTAGTGTCGTCAGCATAGCCCAGGTACGCTAGTCTCTGCTCCGCCAGGCTGAGCCCCAGCTTCCTTTTTTCCGCCAACTGTGCCAACGGCTCCACGGCGCAGAGGAATATGTAAGGTGCAAGAGGGCACCCCTGCCTAACTCCCGACCGCACTTGTATTCCCTCGCTCAGCCAGCCGTTGATTAACGGCTTCGTCGTTGTCCCCTCGTGCAGGCCTTCCACCCAAGCGACAAACCGCTCCGGGAACCCCATGTTTCGCAGCACCATGAAGATGAAGACGTGCGAGACAGAGTCAAAAGCCTTCTGAAAATTGACAAGCAGAAGGTACCAGTTCTCGCTGCCGTGTTTCGCCACATCGATAACATCCGTGACTAACGCCACCGCATCCGACAACCTCCGACCAGGTATGAATCCATACTGCTCCGGGGATATGACTTGGTGCAGCACCTTTTTTATCCGGTTCGCCACCACCCTCGCTAGTATCTTGTATGAGGATTTAAGCAGAGTGATCGGCCGTTAGTTGTTTAGAGAGTCCCTGTCGCCCTTTTTTATGCAGTAAGATTGTAACCGCCTCCTTCGTCTCTGCAGGAAGGGAAGCAGTCGAGACGAAGTCATGAGCTAGCGCCATGAAACTGCTACCGAGGGTGTCCCAGTTGGCTTCGAAGAGTTCCTTTGGGAGTCCATCACTGCCCGGGGACTTCCTCGCCGCCATCGCCTTGAAAGCCTCCTTGACTTCCTCCTCCGTCCAGTCCGCCTCCAGCTCCCTGGCAGTATCCTATGAGAGTTTCCTGTCCGTTGTCGGAACCCACTTCCTTGAACACTGCCTGCGATCCTTCCCGAAGATGCCAGAGAAGAACTCCGCAGCCGCTCCTAGAATCCCCTTGGTGTCTGCGATTACCGCACCATTCACTTTCAGCTCCGCTATCTGAGTTTTGGCCTTCCGCAACTGAATCTTTCCCGATAGGTGCTTAGAAGCCATTTCACCAACCATCTCCTCCCTTGTCCTTGCGCAGATATGCATACGCTCCCTCCGAGACGCGTGATACTCCTTCAGCTACTTCACTTTGGACTCCAGGAGCTCCCCGTGGGCAAAGCCCTGAGGATCAGCCATTGCTTCCTGCTTTAGCCTGGCAACGGTGGCGGCAAGGTGTGAAGTGGTAGCACGGATCCGCTTGCCTTCCTCCTTGGCGTAGGCCTGGAGACCGGCATTTAATCTCGAGGTAAGAAGTTCGAAACTGCTGCCGTTAGTCACCCGCGTTCGTTTCACAGTAGCATCAAATGATCCGTTTGACCCCTGGTTTGTCAATCATGTCAGGTGGCATCTTCCAAAGACCAGGCCCAGACTTGGCCTTCAGGAACAGACGAAGGCCAGCCTTGGCAGCAAAGTCATGGTCGGATATGGTCTCTTCCGGCATGATGTGAACCGCGGAGTCAAGATGAGGTAAGAGCGAGTGTGAGAGAAGAATCCGATCTATTCTAGAGCTAGCCTCCTTTGCCCTCGAGTAGAAAGTGAATTCCTTCTTCCTTGGATGCAGGGTTCTAAATGCGTCTGAGATCTGGAAAGCGCTACAACAACGGAAAGGCTTGTCATTCTCATATAAGGAGCCGAGTTTCGAGGACTTATCAAGGATAGGATTCTCTACGAGGTTCAGGTCACCGGCGATGATAAGGTGAGATGAAGGGGGGATGAGATCTAGGACCGGGCCAAGGGTGTGTGTGATGAAAACATTCCTGGCGGTCGAGTCAGCTGGAAAGTATACGCCTAATACTATGATCTCTATGCCTAAACCGTGCACGCAGGCTTGCAGGATCCTGCCTGACGGGTGTGCGACGATGTCTCAGAGGCTGAAGTGCGGACTCCTACAGAGGAGTGCAACACCGCTGGCCCTAGTCGGAGCGGATGATGTAGCTACGGTGAAGGAGGTGAGGGACTTCCAGTAGATGAGAGGCTAATCTAGTGTCTGTCAGTATAACAAAGTCTGCAACAGTCCTAGCCCAGTCCAGTACCCTAGCTTGCTTAAAACTGTCGCCTAAATCGTTAACATTAAGTGTCGCGAAGATGAGGGTGTCTTTATTAACCATTGACGATAGTGAAATGACCCCTACGCATCCACAAGGTAAGTGAGACTACGACGCCAACTGCAAAGAGTACTACCGACGCTGCTGCTGAGATGCAGCCGAGCCGCTGGAGGTCTTGATCCCGTAATCCTTCAGCATGACGCCTAGGCTTGCCTTCTCTAATGTGAGTCTGGTGGCTGTGCCGAGCTTCTCGAGGTGCGAGAGATGTCAGATTTATATGACATAGCTGTTGTAGGCTATAGTGGGGTAGCACATATGGGGTACGAATTTCTAGGGTTTGTACTTGTACCCAACTTTCCCTTAGTCAATTCATTCTCGTTCTCACTTTCTCATGGTATCGAGCAGGTTCCCTCGTGGGAACTGTTCCTAGGGCCCACCGATCCTCCCTTTTTTTTCTGCCCGGGGCGCGTCCTGCCCCTGCTCGAAGCGAGCCTAGGGTCGCGCCCTCCTTAGCGGCCCGTCGCGTCGCCCTTAGCGGCCCGTCGCGTCGCCCTTAGCGGCCCGTCGCGCCGCCCTTACGGCTGGGTCGCGCAGCCCTAACCGCCGCGTCGCGCCGCCCTTTCACAAGCGGCCCGTCGCCGCCCTTCTCCTGCGGCCCGCCGCCCTCAACTGCGGCCCCGCCGCCCTCAACTGCGGCCCCGCCGCCCTTCTCTGCGGCCCCGCCGCCCTCTGCTGCGGCCCCGCCGCTCTCACCTGCGGCCCCGCCGCTTTCACCTGCGGCCCCGCCGCCCTCAACTACTGCGGCCCCGCCGCCCTCAACTGCGGCCCCGCCACCCTCAACTGCTGCGGCCCCGCCGCCCTCAACTGCTGCGGCCCCGCCGCCCTCAACTGCGGCCCCGCCGCCCTTCTCTGCGGCCCCGCCGCCCTCTACTGCGGCCCCGCCGCTCTCACCTGCGGCCCCGCCGCTTTCACCTGCGGCCTCGTCGCCCTCAACTGCTGCGGCCCCGCCGCCCTCAACTACTGCGGCCCCGCCGCCCTCAACTGCGGCCCCGCCGCCCTCTGCTGCGGCCCCGCCGCTCTCACCTGCGGCCCCGCCGCTTTCACCTGCGGCCCCGCCCCTCTCGTTGGTGGCCCCGCCGCTCTCATCTGCGACCCCGTCACCTGCTGCAGCGCCGCCCGCCACCCGGGCTTCCCGACCCGCCCCACCCAGCCGAGCAGCCGACCGCCGCGCCGCCCAGCAGCAGCACCGTCGAGCCGCCCGGGCAACCGAGCAGCCAGACAGCCGGCCGCCGAGCCGCCCAGCAGCCCTGCAACCGAGCCGCCCAGCAGCAGAGCCGCCCTGCAGCTGAGCCGCCCAGCAGCCGAGCCGCCGTACAGTCGAGCCGCCGGACAGCCGAGCCGCACTGCAGCCGAGCCGCCCAGCAGCCCAGTAGCCGAGCCGCCGATCTGCCGAGCCGCCCTACTACTGAGCCGCCCGAGCTGCCCTGTCCGGTAAGCACAGTGCCTCTTTTGCTACACTGCCCTCACCCTACTGTTGCACTGCTAGTCTACTGTGGTCATGGCTACCCCTAGTGTCCTCGCTTTTGACGCTGAGGGTCAAGCCATTGACTTTGACGTCTGGGTAGATGACCTGCAGCTGTTCTTACAGTGCGATAGGGCAGACGGTCTCTCTCTCTTTGACCTCACCTCTGGCGCCTCTCCTGCCCCTGCTGCTGATGCTGACGCCACTATTTGCTCCTTGTGGGCCACGCGCGACGCTGCTGCGCGTCTTGCTGTGCGTCGCCACCTCCCTACCTCCGAGCGTGCGCACTTTAGTCAGTACAAGAGTGCTCAGACCTTGTACGACGCTGTAGTTGCACGCTACTCCTCCCCTGCCACTTCTGCACTGAGCCGTCTCATGCTACCGTACCTCTTCCCTGACCTTGCTGCCTTTCCCACTGTCGCTGACCTCATTACGCACCTCCGCACTAGTGACACTCGCTACCGTGCTGCGCTTCCTGCTGACTTCTGCGCCAAGAACCCCCCCCCCCCCCCCCCCCGTGTACATCACTCTCTACTACATAGTCACTCGCCTCCCTGACTCCCTTCGCGTAGTCAGGGACCACTTCCTCTCAGTCTGTCCCACCACTCTCACTGTTGACCTCCTCGAGAAGTCCCTTCTAGCGGCCGAGAAGAGCATAGTCGCTGTAGGGGCCTCTCGTGGTGACCCGCGCACCCCCATCTTTGAGGGGTGCTCCCCCTCCCCCCTTCTGCCCTCTGTTGCCTCTGCTGCTACGGCCGACCTCCTTGGTCTTGAGTCGGTCGGTGCGGCGTCCGCTCCTAGCGGGAGACGCCGCTCTGGCAAGGGCAAGGGGGGCAAAGGCGTTGGAGGAGCGAGCGGGAACGGTGGAGGTGGAGGCGGCGGGGGGAGTGGGGGTGGCGGTGGGAGTGGAGGTGGGGGAGGAGGAGGTGTCGGTGGCGGCAGTGGAGGCGGAGGCGGCAGGGGCAGTGGTGGTGGGAGCGGGGGTGGCGGAGGTGGTGGCGGTGGAGGCGGCGGCGGAGGCGGCAGTGGTAGCGGAGGCGGCGGAGGCGGCAGAGGCGGCGGGGGTGGCGGTGGAGCTGGTCGCGGGTCTACACAGAGGAGTGGTTCCGGTGGTGGTCAGCGCCAGCAGCAGCAGCGCGGTCGTGAGACCCTGTCCCCTCAGCAGCTCCGTGAGTGGTACACTGCACGCCAGCGAGGTGGGGGTTTTGCTCCGTGCACCTACGTCCTGCGCACCGGCGACCATGCGGGTGAGCAGTGTGGGGGTGCGCACCCCACCCAGCGCTGCTTTGGCCGCCTGACGGACGCGTGACGTCGCCAGTTCTCGGAGGCCACAGAGATCCCTCGCTGGGGCGAGCTGTCTAAGGCGGGAGTTGCTATCTATGCTCTTGATTTTGATGCTATTCTTTCTGCCATGTATGCTTTGTCTATTAGTGATGAGGGTGACTGTTACCGGTGTTTCCCGCCCGATCCGGGCATTGGGACTGCTGCTCTAGGTACTGGTGAGGCTGCTGCCCTAGGTGCTTGTGACACTGCTGCTCTAGGTGCTAGTGCGTCTGCGTCCTCAGGTACTGGTGAGTCCGCGCTCTCAAGTACTGCGTCGGCTTCGGCCTCCCTCACCTTCACCCTTGACTCTGGAGCTTCTCGCTCCTTCTTTCGGGACCGCACCACACTCACGCCGCTTAGTCGGCAGGTTGCGGTGTCTTTGGCTGACCCCTCTGGGGGTCCT